TCCGTTCTTAATAACATGCTACTGTCAATTGTTTTCCTGAGGAGAAAACAGCAAGCCTCCACATAGGGCAATTCCAGCAGGCTTTGCGTCTTTTGTCTTTGTAACTTTCAGAGTGACAGCTATATAGCCGAAAAATCAAATTTCCATGTAATAATGTACTTGTGAGCCTAAATTAATGCGAAATGTGTTTTGTAAAACAAAATCCGCTTTTTACAGTGAAATAATTCAGGATGCTGTAAAAATAATGGTTGGCGGTCTGTCTCCCACACCCTAGAAGGAAGAAATGAGGGAAGAGAAGGGGTTTCTGGAGGGTGGGGGGCAGAGAAGAGGAAGAGGAAGAGGAAGAGGAAGGAGAAGGCGGCGAGGGAGGTGGATGAGGTTGATGCGCGCGGACAGAGGCGGAACAGGTGCTGAGGCGTGTGCCCGCGGTGAAGCTGGGCCCTGGCTGCTGGTGCTGTCAGAGTTTTCCTTAACGGTGAGGCAGGGCGTGAAGCGAGCGATCAAGGAAAACTGTCAGAAACTGCTTCGTCCGCCATTTTCCCTCAGGGCGCGCGCACACACACACACCTGTTCACTCACACACACACACACACACGCACGCACGCACGCCTTCTGTCCCCGCAGTTAAAACTGCAAAGAGCAGGCTCCCATCACTTCTGCTCACAAGGTGTGCGCGCACCTCCGTCTGCCGTGCTGGTGCTGTCGGCGTGTTTCCTAGCTTTCCCCACATCATATGCTCACGCAGCCCTGGCGGATGCCGCCCTGGCTCGGCCCCAAGGAGCAAGGCTCGTCTCTGTTTTGGAATTTGTGGTAATCCATAGGTTACTGTAATTTTATATTTTTAGAATGTATTTTTGTACTTTAAAAATAGTTCATTTAATGCTATTTATTTGAAAGACAGCATGTCTCACACATACATACACATACATGCACACACACACACACACACACAGAATCTTCCATCCTCTAGTCACTCCCCAAATGCCCACAAGAGCCAGGGCTGAGCCAGGCTGAAATCAGGAGCCCAGAACTCCACGGGGATCTTTCACATGGGTGGCAGGGACCCACATACTTGAGCCATCTGCTGCCCCCCAGGATCCGTATTAGCAGGGAGCTGGAAGCGGAGCCGCCCGTCCCCAGAACCCAGACATTCCTATCCAGGTAACATACATAAATGCACAAATCACAACAGTTTTTCACCTGTGTATAGGCCCAGGGAACCACCAATCAGGTTAAAATCTAGGGTGTTTCTGGACTCCGGTTGACGCCCTTGTGCCCACCTCAGCCATTATGCCCCCACTTTTCCAGTCTCTGTCTCTGTCCATCAGCTTTGCCTGTTTGGTTTGTACCTATGGAGACATAGCTATATAGATTCTGAAATCTATGCACATGAGGAAGTTCATAACAACCCATATTATGAGAAAACTATGCATGGATTTCAAAGTTTGGCACCAAGACTTTTAATTCATTTTCCCATGAATTTTTTGAAGTGCCCCTGTGTGTGTTTGGCCTCTTTTGGTCATCACTGTCTGGGCCCTTCACCCATGGGAGGCGGTGTAGGTAGTAATGACTCATTATTGTTTCACTGCTGAGTATCACTCCTTTGTGTGAACATCATGATTTATCCATGTTGCTGTTGATGGGTGTTTGGGTAGTTTCTAGCTTTGGGTTATTAGGAATAAGTCTGCTGTATAATCTTTCACTTGTCTTTTAGTGCACGCAGACACTGGTTTCTCTACGTAGACACCCAGGGTGGACTTCTTGAGTCAGGGTTAAACACACTTCTGCTTTAGGAGGGACCAAATCCATGGCTACTTTAATCTGGAGAGGGAGGAGCCGTACGTACAGACTGTGGTTTATAGAAGACCCAGTGGGAAGTGGTGAGAGGCAGGAGGTTGTGAAAGAAAAGACAGAGAGGGAAAGAGTGGAGTGTGGTAGGCTCAAGCACATGGAATGAAAACTTAGCGACGGGAAGGGAAGCCCACTGGAAATGAAGAGGGTGGCATTAAGGACACAGTGGCTGCTTTCAGAATGCCCCCCAGAACTGAACTGTCTCTTGCTGACCCTGCAAGAAAAAAAAGAGTTGGAGATGACAAAGCTTTTATAAGAGATCAACATCATTCACAATGGTGCCATTTGTCTACTAAAGTGAGTAAATTGATTTTCTAGGTAGCAAAACCAAAAATCAATGCCCCTTGAAGTTTTTCCTGGTTGCCACCCTCCAGAGGTGGTGGACATATAGCTTGGTCATATAGATGACAACTTAACATCCCCAAGAGGCATAGACCATGAATTTTCCACGTGTCATTTCTGTTTTTATTTAAAGTTTAATGAATTGAATTAATTTGAAAGAAATAAGTGACACAGAGAGAGGGAGAGACAGAGATCAAGAGATCTCCCATCTGCTGTACTCAATAGCCAGACCTGGGCCAAGATGAAGTCAGGAGCCTGAAACTCCATTCAGATCTACTATGTGGGTGGCAAGGACTCAAGTACTTGAACCACCATTTGCCTCCCAGGGTGCACATTAGTAGGAAGCTAGATTGGAAGTGGCGTAGCTGGGATTGGCACAGGCACATCACTCCAATAATATGGAATGCGGGTGTCCCAAGTGGCTACTTAACCCATTGCATCATACATAGTACCTGTCCCATGTCTTATCTATTGATTTAAGCACATATCTTTATTAAAATAGTTTAACTTCATCCTTTTAAATATGACTCCTTAGAAAAACTTAATAAGCAAATACTGAAGGAAAATCAGGTATTTTCTTCATTAACCTATAAATTTCATCTATTAACTCCAATTTCATCTGTTCACTCCAAATGTATGTATTTTAAACATCTCTCTTAGCACCTCTTCTTAATCTCCAGCAAGGCTGAATGAGCGTTGCCTGGTAACTCAGTATTCAGCTGTCTTCTCCCAACATTTGGGTAGACCTCTTTCTCTGGATAGCAAATCATAGCAGGTCTTTGGTTTGCCTTTTTAAGTTGCCCTGTGCCCCGTGCTCACAGAAGAGAAGACAGCCATGAAGATACATAGATGTTTGCCAAAATTCCAGATCCACTCTCTTAGCCCTGTGGCCTGTTTTTCTGCAGCATAAATAGGTGTTCAGCAACCACTTGATTAGGGATAATGTTCTCTCTTATCCCTTACAGGGTTACAGAGGTGGGAGTACAGCCTAACAGTTAAAACATCTGTATCGAAGATTGGAGTGCTTGGGCTTGAGACCTGGCTCCCACTGCTGGCTTCAGCTTCCTGCTGATGCAGACCCTGGGAGGCAGCAGGTGATGGCTCAAGTAACTGGATTCCTGCCACCCACATGGAGCCTTAGGCTGAGTTCCCAGCTCCTTGCTTTTGCCCTGGGGAATGAACTAACAGGCAGGGTCTTACTGTCTCTCTCCCTCTCAAGTAAATAATTTTTAGAATTTTGGTAAAGTACATATGTGTGAAATTTACCATTATTGGCATTCATCTCCAGATTTTTTCCATTTTAAAACTCAAACTCTGTACTCATTAAACACTAAGTCCTCATCACCTCACCTCTGCCTCTGACTACCCTGATTCTACTCTCTGTATTGAGGAATTTGACTACTCCAGGTGCCTCATATAAATGGAATCTTAAAGTTTCTGTCTTTTTGTAACTAGCTTATTTCACATAGCATTGCATCCTCAAGGTTGTATCCATGTTGTAGCTTAGGTCTGAATGTCCTTCCCGTTAAAGGCTGACTAACATTCCATATGCATGAGCATATTTTGTTTATATACTCATGTGGCAAATATTTGGGTTGCTTCCACCTGTTGGATTCCTTTGTTCATGTTACTACATTTATTGAGCATATCCTCTGTATAAATGGTTGTGATAGTTGCTAAGAGTAGGTTGAAAAAAGCTGAAAAGCATGGCATGGTTTCTGCTCCAAGGAACTTATAATTTTTTTAAAGATTTATTTATTTATTTATTTGAAAGGTAGAGTTATAGACAGTGAGAGAGAGTCAGAGAGAAAGGTCTTCCTTCTGTTGGTTCACCCCCCAAGTGGCCGCTACGGCCAGCGCTGCGCCGATCCGAAGCCAGGAGCCTCCTCCTGGTCCCCCATGTAGGTGCAGGGCCCAAGCACTTGGGCCATCCTCCACTGCCCTCCTGGGCCACAGCAGAGAGCTGGACTGGAAGAGGAGCAACCGGGACTAGAACCCGGTGCCCATATGGGATGCTGGCGCCGCAGACGGAGGATTAGCCAAGTGAGCCACGGCGCCGGGCCCAGGAACTTATAATTTTTAAGGATAATTCTGGGTGTATAAAAGTAATTATGGGGGTTCAGCACTGTGACATAATAGGTAAAGCCACTGCCTGCAGTGCCATCATCCCATATAGGTGCCAGTTAGAGTCCTGGCTGCTCCTCTTCCAATCCAGCTCTCTGCTATGGCCTGGGAAAGCAGTAGCAGATGGTCCAAATGCTTGGACCCCTGAACTTGAGTGGGAGACCCAGAAGAAGCTCTTGGCTCCTGGCTTCAGATCAGCTCAGTTCCGGCCATTGCAACCATTAGGGGAGTGAACCTACAGATGGAAGACCTCTCTCTCTCTCTCTCTCTCTCTCTCTCTCTCTCTCTCTCTCTGCCTCTGCCTCTCTATAACTCTGCCTTTCAAATAAATAAATAAATCTCTTTTTTTAAAAAAAATTACAGAAGGTAAGATAACTACCATAATAGGTATATATAGAAAAGAGCAATCTGGGAAAGCAGCAACAGGAAGGTGCCAGAGAGCTCAGCAGCTGTCGCTCTTCAGCTGTACTTTAAAGCTAAATGAGTTTGCAGTGGGTGGCAGGTGAAGGTGGCATGGGGAGGGACACAGGGGAAGGTGGAAGTAGGTGGCATACAGTCACAATTGGGAAGTGTGAGCCTGAGACAGTCACGTCCAAGTGTCTCAGCTGCGAGGCCACAGCACTTCACAGAGCAGGGCATTTGGAACACAACCGAACAGTCTCCTAAGACAGATAATTGAACAGCTCTCATTACAGAAACATAGACAACTGCGTTTCCAGAGATCTTCCCACAGAGAGGCCTTTGGGTGCCCAGCCAAGTGGGACCCTTGAGCAAAGGATTCAGGACAGCACAGGAACCTGTCTGTTGTCCTCATTCCTGCTACCGCTGCCTGACAGAGCTGAGGAGCTTCTGAACTGGGCCAGGCTTTTGTGAGACCATCCTGGGAGTCTGTTAAAGGAAGACTTCCCCCAAGAGAACGCTCTGGAGCTGCTGTGGTAGAATGTGTCCTCCCAAAATCGTGTGTTGGAGACTTAACCCTCCTATACAACCGTGTGTGGGAGGGCTTAGGTCATGAGGGCTGCACACTCGTGAATGGAGTAAAGCGAACTAGAAAATGGCAACTCATGACAAGAGCCTAGGGTGATTACTGATGCCATAAACAAGAGTGTCAATTTGTTAAGTCAACAACAGGAGTCACTGTGCACTTACTCCTCATGTAGGATCTCTGTCCTTAATGTGCTGTACATTGTGATTTAATGCTATAACTAGTACTCAAACAGTATTTTTCACTTTGTGTTTCTGTGTGGGTGCAAACTGTTGAAATCTTGCTAAACTGATCTTCTGTATATAAAGAGAATTGAAAATGAATCTTAATGTGAATGGAAGGGGAGAGGAAGCGGGAAAGGGGAGGGTTGCGGGTGGGAGGGAAGTTGTTGGGGGGAAGCCATTGTAATCCATAAGCTGTACTTTGAAAATTTATATTCATTAAATAAAAGTAAAAAAAAAAAGAAAATGGCTTAAGCTGCAAGTTCAGACTCCCCCCCCCCCATGGGGTACCACAGCTAAAGGCTGAGGAGCCCAACCTCCTGAAATGTGAGAAATAAATTTCTTTTTTTTACAAATTACCCAATTTGTGCCATTCTGTTATTCTAATGCAAAATGGATTGACTGCTAGTTTATCACTAGTGGTTTGGAATTCCTTTCTTCAGATATGCAACTAACACATATATGTTGAGTATCTACTCTGTGTCAAAATCGTTCCTGCTCATTACGTTACAGTAAACAATATAAATTGATGAGATTGTTGCTTTCTCATAGGGCTTCCTCTTTACTAGAGCAAGAAATAAACAAGATAACTATCAACAAGCGGTAAGAGTTACAAAGAGAATTAAAATCAAGTGACATAGTGGAGAGCAAATGGAGGGCTCCTGACACTGGGTGATCTGAGACAGTGACATTAAGCTGAGTTCTGAAGGCACTCACTGTGCAAAGATGGGAGGGAGGGGCAATCCACGCAGATGTGCAGCTGGTGCAAAGGCCCTAGGGCGAGGTTGACCTTGGCATATTTGAGGAACTGAAACAAGGCGGTCTGTGCAGAGCACAATGAATACACAGAGACTGTGTCTGAGATGAGTTAGAAAGAGAGCCCAAGGCCACATCTTAGATACCCTGTGACTCAGATGAAGGAGTTTGGAATTTTTTCCCTGAGTGCCATGAGAAATTATGGGAAAGCAGAGGGATAATTTGCTATGGTTCCACATTTTTGAAAGATCATTCTGGTGGTTTTGTGAAAAGGGGACAAATTTGGAATCAGGGAGGTCAGTTAGGCTGATACTGCAGTGGTGAAACAACAACAAAAAATATGTTGGATTGGACTTGGACACAGACATGGATAAAGAATCAGGTGGCAGCAGTAGAGACAGAGGGAAGAAAATGAATGCAGGTGCATTGTGGACGTAGATTCTACAAGCAATAAGGAAAATAAAGCAAACCTAGGAAAATTCCTCAATTTTTGCCTTAAGCAATTATGTAGATCATGTTTTCTTTTTCAATATGAGGATTCCTGGAAAAGAAGAAAATTTAAGTGAGAAGAGGAAAGAACCAGCAATTCTCTTTCTTTCTTTTTTTTAAAGATTTATTTGAAAGTCAGAGTTACACAGAGAGAGGAGAAGCAGAGAGAGAAAGAGAGGTCTTCCATCCGCTGGTTCACTCCCCAATTGGCCACAACGGCCGGAGCTGTGCCAATCTGAAGCCAGGAGCCAGGAGCTTCTTCCAGGTCTCCCATGTAGGTGCAAGGGCCCAAGGACTTGGGCCATGTTATACTGCTTTCCCAGGCCATAGCAGAGAGCTGGGTTGGAAGAAGAGCAGCCGGGACTAGAACTGGCGCCCATATGGGCTGCCAGCGCCGCAGGTGGAGAATTAACCTACTGTGCCATGGTGCCGGCCCCTACCAGCAATTCTCTTTCAAGCAAGTTCATCTGAGATGCATGTGAACCCATTCAACTGTTAGTCTACAGAGTTCTGATTAGAGGTCAGGGCTGAAAATACAGATGTGGGGAAATAAAATGTATTCTATGATCTCTTTGCTAAGTGATGATTAACTAAGTCCAGTTCAGCATCTCAAGTGCTAAAAAGCAGAACCACAGAGCCACTGTTGCACACCTAGTGATACCTTTCATTTGTAGCTTGTCCAGACTGTGGTAAATACTCGTGCACTGCCTGTTGCTGCCTGTTGCTATCATTTGGATCAGAAGAAAGAGGGATGACAGGGCTGGTGTTGGAGTTCAGTGGGTTAAGCCACTGCCTGTGATGTCGGCATCCCATATGGGTGCTGGTTCAAGTTCCAGCTGCTCCACTTCTGATCCAGCGCCCTGCTAATGTGCCTGGGAAGGTAGCAGAGGATGGTCCAAGTACTGTGGTCCTTGCCACCCACGTGGGAGATCCAGATGGAATTCTGGGCTCCTGACTTCAGCCTGGCCCAGCCCTAGCTGTTGTAGCCATTTGGAGGGTGAACCGGTGGTTAGAAGATCTCACTTGCTCTCTGTGTCTGCCCCCTCTCTGTAACTCTGCTTTTCAAATAAACAAAAAAATCTTATAACAGGAAGGAGGAGGAGGAGGAGGAGGGAGAAGTGGAATGTCTTGATCTCTTGTTGCATTGAGCTGGACATAGGAGAGAACAAGGTTCCTGAGTGCTCTGGCTGGGGATGTTGGCGACTGTGTGAGACCTTCTTGAAGAGGCTGGCTGCAGCTCTGATCTTTCATTCAGGCTTTTCTTTTTTTTTCCCTCTGATGCCACTATGACTCATGATTGGTTTTACAAATATAATTTCCCAGCATGTAGTCCTCCTTCCAGTTCCAGCACACCCCAGCTTCTCAGAATACACATCAACTGCCAGACACCTGTCCGTGACCCCCGAATGTAAGGTATCCTGTCCCTGGGAAGGAAAACCTGGCTTTGGGAGCCTTCTCTCCTGCGGTCTTTGGACTGGGATCTACACCTCCAAGAATGGGACGAGAGAGGCAAAGCATGTGAAGAACTCCATGGCTCTGAAATATATCCCGAGTTGTGTCACTAAAGAGTGGTACCCATGTGGTACCACTCATCTCCGCTGGATGTTACCACCTGCAGTGTAATAATGTACTAGCTCTCTAATGTACTAGCTACGTGCTTGTGCGCCTGGAAAAGCAGCACTTGGGCCCCTGCCACCTATGTGGGAGACCGGATAGAGTTCTTGGCTTCTGATTTAAGGATTATCTTAGTTTCCAAATCAGTCTTATGCAATGGTTTTTACTGTCCCTATTCTAAAGATGAGGAAACAGGGGCTCAAGTTATTGAAATGACTTCTTCAACCTTGCAGACCAAGCCCAGATCTGTTTGGTACTATTGTACTGTATTGCTTCTCCTTGCTGTGTGTGTGTGTGTGTGTGTGTGTGTTAGGCAGAGTTACAGACAGAGGGAGGAGAGAAAAAAAAAAGAGAGATCTTCCATCCACTGTTAGTCCACTCCCCAAATGGTCACAACAGCCAGGGCTGGACTGGGCTGAAGCCAAGAGCCTGGAGTTTCTTCCAGGTCTCCCACATAGAGACATAGGTGGCAGAGGCCCAAGGACTTGCGCCCTCTTCCACTGCCTTTCCAAGCACATTAACATGGAGCTGGGGTCGGCGCCGTGGCTCAATAGGCTAATCCTCCACCTAGCAGCGCGGGCACACCAGGTTCTAGTCCTGGTCGGGGCGCTGGATTCTTTCCCGGTTGCCCCTCTTCCAGGCCAACTCTCTGCTGTGGCCAGGGAGTGCAGTGGAGGATGGCCCAAGTGCTTGGGCCCTGCACCCGCATGGGAGACCAGGAGAAGCACCTGGCTCTTGCCTTCGGATCAGCGTGGTGTGCCGGCCGTGGCGGCCATTGGAGGGTGAACCAACGGCAAAAGGAAGCCCTTTCTGTCTTTCTCTCTCACTATCCACTCTGCCTGTCAAACAACAACAACAACAAAACCAAAAAACAAAAAGAAAAACATAGAGCTAGATCAGAAGTGGAGCAGCCAGGTCTCAAACTGGCACCCATATGGGATGCTGGCACCGCAGATGGCAGCTTAACCAATTATGCTACGACGCTGGCCCCACTGTGTGTTCTTGCACTAGTCTTTTAACCTCTCTGGGCTGGAATTTCTTCATTTCTTAAAGGGGACATTAAAAATTGTGTTTTTTTTTTTGTCTCATCTAGCTTTGTTATTGTGGATTCTGAACATATTTATTATTCAACTTTCCAAATGAGAGTTTTGGATTCTCTTAGAACCAAAATGCTTCAGCTAGAGTCTGATTTCCACACCTCTGAGGTAAGAGGGGAGAATGACCTTGCACTTGGAACATCTGGCATAAAAGTGTTGTGAGCCCGGAGGTGAAAGCCTCCTTCAGGGTATAAAGGATACTGTCGTGACTTCTTTGTTCCCTGGGCCTACAGCTCTTGCCTCTCTTTTCCTTTGGAAAATACTTCTCATTTTCTAAGTCCTTGTGCTTTGAAGGTCGACTTTTTTGGGCCGCGGGGGGTGGGGTGGGGAGATGTCAAAGGGGAGAGAAGGTTAAATACAGAACTGAGTCTGTTCGCTGCTAGCTGCGGAAGCTCGCTGCCGTCGCCCTGGCTTGACCTTGTCATCGCAGCTCCATTATGAGGGCAGAAGCTTAGCCTCCCCGGGGTCATCATTTCCTTTAGACCTTGCCAGCAGCAAAGGGCAAGAGGCTCTCTCCTCATTGATATTTGCCTGCTTGAATCCAAAAGAGCATGCTGATGGCAGAAAGGAAAAGCAACACCATTTGGCAGTGCAGTGCTTTAGTCAAAACCGATCTTCAGTGCAAACGTTGTTTTAGGTTTTAATCTCTTATCATACCCTTCTGATGGTTGTCCATTTATAACATGCTTTAGAACTCTAGCTACAGTAGTTGTCTTAGCATTCTCTTATTTATTTTTTATTTATTTATTTTTTAAAATTTTTTGACAGGCAGAGTGGACAGTGAGAGAGAGAGACAGAGAGAAAGGTCATCCTTTTGCCCTTGGTTCACATTCCAATGGCCGCCGCAGCTGGCGCGCTGCGGCTGGTGCACCACGCTGATCTGAAGGCAGGAGCCAGGTGCTTCTCCTGGTCTCCCATGGGGTGCAGGGCCCAAGCACTTGGGCCATCCTCCACTGCACTCCCTGGCCACAGCAGAGAGCTGGCCTGGAAGAGGGGCAACTGGGACAGAATCCGGCGCCCCGACCGGGACTAGAACCCGGTGTGCCAGCGCTGCAAGGCGGAGGATTAGCCTAGTGAGCCGCGGTGCCCGCCACTTTTTTTTTTTTTTAAAGAAAGATTTAT